TTTGATTTTCTTCCATTTTCTCTCCCAACTTCTCAATTACTAATGGAACTGTTTTTTTAGGGTTGGCTGCTATATAAAATGCATTATTTAAAACAATTGTCACCTGTCTCGGTGGAAGTGGCAGAGCATGCTGCCAGACTCTTGGGATCCCAGACGCTGTACAGTGACAGACATGTGTAATCCTATTTCATGCCCTATGACTACTAGATATTGTTTGATTTCTGCATGTATTTCAACAACATATAATAAAAAAAGATACACAAGAGGTGAGGAGATTGTAGTGGAAATACTCTGTGTAAATCACAGTAACCCCTGTTCCCTGTGTACATAAGCTTGGCTAAGCAGTTCACAGCCTAACAAGTTTAAACTAACATTTCATATTGACCAAAAAGTCTCTGCAAATATGTGAAGAAGGATTGACTAGTCGGAGCTCCTAAGTGGAGTACTTTCCTCGACTGACTTGACTGGTGCTTGCAGAAATTGAATTACACGTGTACAAGGGAAGATAGTGGGATGAGAAGATGTTCGTTATTGGATTCGGTGTTTGGGAGGCAATTTTCCAAATATTATCTCTTAGCTCAATAACTGAATGGCTATGCACCGTAAGAGAGCTCAGTTGATGATTTTAAGTTTTCCAAGTGTCAATTATGTCCATTTCTTTGGGAATAATGCAGACATAAAGATTTCCAGTCCACCAGTGACTATATTTTTGCATGTACTAGTGTATGCAAATTTCATATAAATGATGTTTTTTAAATCTAATACTAGATTTTCAAACTTCATTAACATATATATATTTGCAAAATTAGTCACACATTTGATTAAGGTTGTGTCAAAAGTAAAGGAAACCTTATTTTTATTTTTGTAAATGCAGGAATCTCTTAAGTGATTGTTTTTGTAGACAGGTTACATAATCATATTAAATCCTACATTAAGGTTGCTGGGTGCTGGCCGTTTGATTGTTTTTCTACCTTCAGCAGCTCTTTCCCAACCACTCACAGTTCTGACTTAGATACATCTGGTTTCAGTGTGCAGCCCGGTAGGAGCAGCTTAGAATTCTTACCGAGGCTTCCAGCAAAACTGCTCTCATGGTCGAGTCCCTAATGTCAGCCTTGTGTTTCCCCTGGAACACAATTCTGGCTCCAGTTGCCCCTAATCAAGAATAATTCTGGAAATGAGGGAAGACACCCCAGGCTCCAGGCAGTGCCTATTTCATTGTTGACTTTACCTTTCTCAAACCCAAGCTATAATAAAAGTCACTTGTACAAGCTGATGCTGATATTTTCACTACAAATAAGAAGAATATTTGTTCTAGCAAGAAGAAACATTGCCTTTACTTTCAGCAACTGGGCAGCAATTGCCAAAAAGGGTAGGGTTGGCAGAAACATAGGTTTGGGACACTGGCGTTAAGTATTTCAGACTATGGAAAACATTGCCTTTGGATGCTAGATGCTGAGGGGTACACACCTTCCAGCAGAGGGGAAATTATTGACCCAGACCATGTCATCATTTGCCATATTGCTACAGGGAGAGCAATTGGCATTATTAGAAACCGTGAACAGGAGGGTTACATTCTTCCCAAGACCTTTCATTTACTTTCCTATTTTTGCCCCAGAGTTTATGATCTAAGAAATCCTGCTGTCTTTTTCTCATGTTATGCATTGCGTCCTGTTTTGTAGTATGTCAAGTAACTTGAACCATCACCTTCGAAACAATGAGTTGCAATAAATTAACAACAGCTTTTGTCAAATTTACTGATAAAGTGTTTTCTGGTGGGTCGCCCAAGGTATCGGAACTTGCTTAAAATTAATCGTCTGGATTGATGTGTTCTCACGTAGGCATTGTAACTCAATGAAGAAGTTGGAAGTTAAAAAATTTGGCTGTAACATTTCTGGGGGAAAAATACAAGTGGAAGCAAATTAACTGCTTCCTTTCGAGTAATTCAAACCAATGCATAACAGTGGTTGCTTCAAGTGAAAAATTTTTTTTAGTTTCACTGTGGAATTGTGGGGTATTCGTGGTCAGACGTAATCCCCTTCTACTTACTCTAACAGTCTAAGTTGTGAGGATTTTTCTCTTCTTGAAGGTCTTGGGGGAAATCATGCCTCCATACAGACCAGAACAAAGACTTGTGTTTTTGCATTTAATTTGCATTGAGACCCTTGCAAGACTGTGTTTGTAACAGGTGTTAGGTACCTGCACAGCCTCAAGACGGCATAGAAACCGAGCTTACTTTTTCACTTCACTGATTGCCACACATTTCTACAATCCAGACGCACGCTTAAAACAACACTGCTTGCTGAATATGTACCATTTGAAAAGAAAATAACATTGATACAATTGTAAATGGAATAGGATTAATAAATATTTTAACTTGGTGGCCCTATTGGCCTTGGTTTGACATTTATGATATATAATACCACAGGTCTGACTATATACAACACGCAGGAGGGGCTGGGAGAGGTTGAACAAACCAAATGAATTGTAATGGTGTTTTTCCAAGTTTGAATAGTCGCCGAGCTGTCAAATGTCCAATCATATGCCCTTGGTTCCACCAGTGGTTTTGAAATGTCACATTAAATTAAAGAGACCACTAAAAAAATTTATACTGTTACAGAAAATTTTTAGGAGATATTTTTTCTCATAAACATGTACGTTTACATGGGTAACAATGTTTCAGTTACTTTTGTTTAGTTTAAACTTCAAAAAACCAAACATACAGTATTATTTTGGTGACATTTGTCATACCCCTCATGTTTCCCTGTTGCTCAAAGTAGAAAATTATGTTTAAGATACTTGATGTAAGATATCTTACCTTCTAGACCTAGCAACCTGTAAAAAATTGGTTTTCAGTTATGGTTTTATATTCACTAATCACATTAGCAAACAGTGTATGCGTGTATGTAAGTAAGCCCTTAGGCTTAAGATATATCAATTTTATTTTTGCCAATCTTTTTTTTTTCCTAACAGTTGTCAGCAATACAATATGGTTCATTACTCCTATACACATTAGTGAACTCTCACCCAGTATATATCTAACAGTTAAAAAGCATGCATGATAATTGACATCTCAATGACAGGTCTGGAATTCAAATAAATGAAATCTGATAGTCAAAACAGAGATTTTATTGCTTGAAAATGTACACATGGTCGATCCATCTAACTCATAGGCACTCTTGGGGGTTTTCTGTGTACGTTTATCTCAGCAAACTTGTCTATCATATCTTCGTTTATCTCAGCTGATCGGCAGGCCATATACTACAGGCTGGTAAGATGACTGATAAAGGTGTAATAAATGACAAGGAGGTGATAAGATTGTTCCGTGCACAGGGAGAGATGGCAGTGAGAAGGGGAGGAGGGCAATTGCTAGAAATTGAACTGTCCTAACCTCAACACATTCACCTGAATGTCTGCAATTAGCAGGCTCTCACAGACATTGTCTGTCAGAGTTAATTTTAAATGAAATCTGTCTTAGCTACTTGTTCTATTGATCACGTACAAGTGTGCTAGGAAGTGAAGCCTTCATTGATCAGTACATTGTAGCTGGAGTAAAGGAAGTGGGGAGGGAAGGTGTGGATTCATGGGTGGTGATATTAGGTTTATTTTGTAGTAGGTATTTTAAAATATTCAACAGTTTCTCTGGATATTTGTTTGAAAGACTAATTGGCCTCAATCACAGTGATGACACTGACAGACATTTGTTGATCAGTTGTCATTCTGTTGTCCTCAGGTATTCATCATCATTTTATCGTATCTTGGCTGATGCTGACGCCACATATATTAGACTGTTTACCAGCAACAGATGTGTATTCTTTGAAATATTAAGCTATCTACTTTAAAATTCCATAAGATATTTATAATTATTTCATCAGATCTTGGCTGATACTCACAATAATGTTAAGTGTTGTATGTATGAATATGAAGGGAATTTTCTGTTGCATTCAGGCTACTTCTCTCTCTCTCTCTCTCATATATGTTTATAAACCATATATCTAAGCTATATATGGTTGGCTAATATATCAGCTGTGACAGCCCTTCAGGATCATTATGATACCCTCAGTCCCACCCACAGAGTATCACATCTCTTTACAGTGTGACATAGCACCTCTACACCTGGTCTGCCATCTACAGTCAGGTCATTCTACTGTGACAAAGTAACAATCAGCTTGGTTTTCAGTTTGTGGTTCCTTTTCAATAAGAGACCTGTGCTTCTTATTGAAGTAGCAAGCACATGTACCTGTTTTTTTTTTACCTGGTTGAGTAGTTATAGAGCAGGAGAAAAAAAGTCTCCGTCTGTTGCAGATATTCTCTGCTCACATGCGAGGTTCACACACATGCAAAGGGCAGAGCTTGTCACTGAGATAACCTCCAAGATGGATGCAGTTTGGCTTTCGAAGTTTTGTATTTTAACTGAAACAGCATCAGTGCACCAGAAGTTTTTGCTCTCCCAGTCAGCTAACCTTTGTAGGCATCTTTACAATGCTCTCCTGCCATTTATATCTGCTCTATCAAGAGAGATGCATTGCTTGATAAGATGTCTTTGGAATGTTTGCACATGTTACAACACTTTTTACTGGCTTCAACTGACCATTTAGGAAACCACATTCTACAACTATCTTGGGAGACTCCATTTTAAATAATAAAAGTTGTGGAGAAGCCTTAAGGTTAATTTGATTTTGATTTCAAGTGTTCATTCCTGAATTGATTCATGTTTAGTGCTGTTTTCTTTACAAATGTAGCATGCATGTTTCATGATTGTATGAAAAATAGATGCCTGAAAAGTGCCAGTAAAAATTTCAAATTTTAACAGTTAATTGGCTGCCTATTATTTTGAGTTGGGGATACGTAAAGGTTAAACTGTACAAATAAGCTGCTCTTGAATAACAGAGGCTGGGGCTTGCTGGAATATCATAAATACTGCTCATTGTACACTGTTCAATGCTCTTGTTGAAATTTTCTATCAGCTTTTGATTTTCCAATGTTTTCTTTCCCCACCGCAGGTGCGGACATTATTTGTAAGTGGACTACCAATGGACGCCAAGCCCAGGGAATTGTATTTGTTATTCAGAGCTTATAAGGTAAGTATTTGTGTGTTTCAAACTGGTAGCATGTTGAAGGCATACAATTAAGAATAAACTATAAGCAGTTGTATTGTGAATTTATATAAACTACCATTCAGATCATTAACTGGAAAAATTGTTTTTTGAATTTTTTTAATTGGAAGTAGCAATAGCAGTGCTGTAGGAAGTAATGTTTGATGTTATTACAATCAGATACTATATATTGTTTTTTAGAGCCTGTATTCTGGAACATTTACTTTCTTTATTGGATTTTCTCTGTTCCGTCCCAGTTGTTACATATTGAACTTTTTCTCAGGTGTAAAGTAATCTAGTAATCAGATATCACTTGGTTTCATGTTTTTGAGTGTTAATTACAGCTTATTCATTTGAAGCTAAATTACTATTGATGTTCTTTGAGAATTAATTCTCAGGCGATGACCTGGCATTCTTTTCCATTACCTTGATTACCTTGTCTTATTTCCAAGGCGTGCGTTCCCGAGGGAGCCCTGAGTGGGTTTCACCTGTATTACCAACATGGCTCAGTATCTTGTACTAATATAACTGTGTATATAACTGGTGGAGGCCTTTTTTAGTACTAATCTGCTTTGTTTGTAGGGGTATGAATCTTCTCTATTAAAAATAATGGCCAAGGGTAACCTCAAAAACAATGCTGTAAGTAACCGGGTGCTTGCATGAGTATCACCCACTTTGCCGGCTTTGCTGCACTCAGAGAAAATTAACACGCCAGAGCACCACAGACAATTGTACTGCTACCTGCACTCTAGAAAACAATAGAGCTTTTTTACATATATGTATTCAGACACATGCACCTGGGTTACGTAATCCTATTCTCAGGTTGTGCCAAAATGTAGCTTACTTGGACTTCAGCTAGAAAACAATGCAGTTTAATTGTCAAACGGATGCAGATCTATGCGACTTGATGTCTCGTTTCTGGCCTCTGGACTTATAAAAAAAACAAAAAAGAACAGACAAAATGTATGTTCACGTGGCTTTGTACTTCAGACATGCCACTGTACAGTAATCTTCGAACTTGTTCAAATTCACATTGGATAGCACAGCTGACTATCTGCCAGTGCAGGAATTACCTGCCCCCTGGCTTTTTACTAATGGAAAAAGATGTTTGTGTAACAAAATAGTAATTGTTTTCATCCACACAGAATGTTAGGTATTGCTCCATCAGTTGTAAAGATGGAGCATACAAACTCAGTTGGAAACCCTAAGTGGAACAGACAAATAGCATTTGCATCAGACTCATTCAGAAATACGTGGCTAATTTGCCAAGTCTCATTTTCCTTGGTGGTTGGTAAGAAAGTACATGTTTTGGATGCAAAAGTCATTTGGATGGGCAGAAATTGCCTCTTTTTTTTTTTTTTTTTTTGCAAGTGCAGGTAGTAAGTAAGAAGGTCTGTGTCTCTCTGATGGCTACCATTTTGCATGCATTTTCAGACCTTATGAAGCAGACGCAGAAATGCCACAGGATGAAGTCGTGTATCACACGAAGAAAAATGACACCATTTCCTTGATTTTGTATGACATGATTATCTATCAGAACAAATTCCTAACTCATGTATTTTCTATATAATCATACTAGCTTTCTATAGGACTTTAATAACAAGAGCCACTCCATCAGCTAACAGAGCAAAGAATTTAAATGCTAAGGTAACCTTGCTCAACAGATATTAATGGCAGGATTTATGGATTAATGCTCTAAAACTGGCTATGGACAGACTGCTTTTCAGTAGTGATTTTTCACAATGAGGGAGTAGCACGTCCAGATTGTGTTGTAAGGTTGTGGTCAGCTTTTGGGGTGCCTCTTTCTGGTAACCATCTAACCATGTATTAGTTAGACTTCCCAGCAATCATGGGGATCATTTACTGTGACCTCCATTCACCAAGATTTGTCAACAGGGAATTGCATTCGAGGGGGACGACTGCAGCAGACCACCATCACAATGGCCGAAATCACCACGGCCGATATCACGGGTGTTCTAGAACAATCAGCACACCGCTTTGAGCACCATCACCTTTCACGCACTTTATTTCACGTTTTGCAGGGTTATGAAGGTTCTCTTTTAAAAGTCACCAACAAAAATGGCAAAACTACTTCAGTAAGTATCTGCACCACCCGACATGAGAACTGTTGCTTTTTTTTCATGTAGTTATCACATGATGACTCAGCAAAACAACACTCTGCAAGACACGTATTAACAACATCACAAGAAAACGTTAGGAGAGGCAATTTTGTACACTGGATGAGGCTTTGATGCACAACAGACGAGAGCCCTGATACTTGATTGTAATTCAATATTTCAAAGCTCATGGAGGGATGAGAAAGCGGATTTTCTCGTTTTCTGCTGAAAATAGAATGATTGGGCTAATCTTTTTCATTTAAGATCAATAAATGTGGACTGGTAATTTGAACTGGTCTCATTTGAATAATGAGGTGCTGCGAGTCTGTTGTGTATATGTGCTTACTGGTGAAAAAGTCGTGAAATGCAAACCCATTTTTTTTAGATTTAAGATTTTTATACGTCATGGGTATTGATTTTTAAGTGAGCTTTCTTTGAGTTTTATTTTAACATTGAAGGTTGTTTGATATATGGATAACAAGACATGTTTGTGTATATATATATATATATATATATATATATATATATATATATATATATATATATATATATATGCATGCACAGTTGATTTTAGGATGAAATTACCATGAAATTTGTTTTTTTTTTCTCATAATTCTATAATTACACATTCTGTGCACATAAATACAGGATATTATGTATAGGAAAAAATTCTGTCAGAATGTTTTTTCTTTGAATTGGTTTTGAATTTATACATAAGTTTTGTTATCTTCATCTATCTTTGAGAATCTTTAGTCTTCTAGTACCTAATTTGGATGAGGTGCAGTTGTGCTTTGCAACCCAGTGACTTCAGTTCCTAAAAAATGATTAAACTTTTTAAATACCTTTTAAAACAATTGTGGTCAAACATGAAAATTTATTAGCAACACTCTTCATTTTAAACAAAGGCAAATTTCAGAAGACAGTAATGATTGTTAGATTATTCCAGCAGAAAATCTACTTTGACCCAGAATACACTATATCTATGCATTAATTGAATAGACAAAGATATCTGACCATGACTGTCTACTGAAACCATCTCACAGAATTGACTTGCATGAGAACCCCTATGTGTTAAAGCTGCAAATGTCCCTTTGGCTTTAAAATTGAATGGTAGTCAACAAAATTTGTGTAAACTACAGTTAACAATGAATTTCACGAAATACAAACCTGTTTTGTTTATATCCACAAGGCAAAAATAGATTATTTGACATTAATTGTGTACAAATGATTATATATTTATTTATTTATTTATTGGTGAGAGAAACTGTTTCAAAGTAAAACATGTTTACTTATTTTTGATTTAAACACTTATTTGTTCCCAACTGAAAAGTGTATATGGATTTTCTTAATCCACATATTTATATTTTACTGCAAACAATTTTTATCATGTAATCCTTAATGGCAAATAAATACTTTAATATTAAAAGACACACTCTGCCAGTCAGTGCATCTATAATTTGTAACTCATTTGATCTGTTGAGATTATTCAGTTGTAATTAGTGTCTATTGTCTTCCTTTAAATGTGTCTAGAGCTTCCTTTCATGTTGTCTGTAATAATAAATGTCAATAATACATGAATGTACACTTAATGTGGTTTCTCCTAATTTTAGCCTGTAGGCTTTGTGACCTTCACGTCAAGAGTGGCTGCCGAAACAGCTAAACAAGACTTGCAGGTAGGTTTTGCTCACACACACGATATTTATTCTAGTCTCTCACAGTGTCAAGACAGTTTATGCTACTATGATCCTTGCATTGAGCACACAACAAATCCAGAGTCATGGCTCATTATCATTGTCTATGAGTTGTTTTTTTAGAGATTGATTTTTTTCAACCAATCAGATCACAGCTTGAAATTGCACCACCATATGGCACCACATAACTCGGCACTGACTGTGTCTTCTCCATCATCAACATCATCATCATCATCATCATTATCCTTCAAGCAACACGTACTTTATGCCAAAACTCTTTTTATGTAATGTTGTGCTGTTTGTAGCAGGGCGTAAGGTTCGATCCTGATCTCCCCCAGACTCTAAGGTTAGAGTTTGCCAAGAGTAACACCAAGGTGACCAAGCCCAAGCAACAATCACCGCAACCTGCAGCCACGCACCCAACTATAATCCATCCTCTAACTGGACGTAAGTTGTGCATGCCTCATTGTTTAAGCATGCCTTGGTCACAGACAGCACTGGTTACACAATTTGGATGGGGAGGGTGGCTCTAGGGGCAGTGGAAGTGGAAGGGGGGGTATGATTAGGAAGGCCACACCTGTTTCGATATACATTTCCTATGAAAACCACTTTTTAAATCTGATATCTAAAAACCATTTTAAAGATCTGATATCTGAAATTTGATTTTTCTTTTGCAAAAAAAAAAAAAAAAAAAGGGTGTTCAAACCTCATTTTCAATAATCAAAATTAAAAAAAAAACATGAATTTACAAAAATGAAAATGTCTTCTTATTATGAAAATTATTCTTCTGTATGTTTACCTGCAGTGGAAACTATTTTAGAAGACAGTAATGAGACCCTTGGCTGTTTGCCTTGACAGCCTATCAAAATTTCCAGGGTCTTCTTTTTTTTTGTACGTCATACGGTAAACAAGCGGCAAGGGGATATTGTGGCTTTGCTGTGTCACCACTGCAGATTAAAGAGCAAAAGCACAGGTGAAAGATGATCTCTTTCCACCTGATGTTTGCTAGCCTGGACAATGCAGTCATTTTGTCTCAATATCGCCAATGATGCCAGAGCTTGAATATGAGCTGCCAGCATTGGCAATCCCGGATCTGCAGGATTGAGTTCTGATGGGAGAGGAATTGGTCACAGCATGAAGCAAGCTCACTCCATGCCATGTCAAAGTAGTGCTAATTGGGACTCCTAGTGCTGTCTGTGCTACCTCGGCTTTTTCTGCATTATTGTTAAACAGCATGATATAAGGCACAGTGGGTGCTAATCTTTGTTCTATATGGAATCAACTAATGATGATAATTATCACGGCAGATACTGCACTGTACTCAACTCACTTGGCACAATGCTATTATGTACTACACCTGAAGCTTAGTCTTTTACTAGTAGCCTGCTAAAACTTTGAAATTGTATGGAGTTGATGATATAGTATTGTGTGGTTATGTATTACAAATAAGAATAACCTTATTTTATGGTCTTTATTAAGAAAAGTAATAAATATTCCATTGTTTAAGGCCTAACCCTTGTGATGTCTAAATAAGTGGTTCTTGAGTGTCCAATCTTTTCTGTTTCCAGAAGAATTAGGTGCTGCGTTTTTACCAGGTGCGGAAGCATGGGCGGCACATCCTCTTGTAACAGCAGCTTACGAATTGCCAACCGCGGCTTCGATTCATCATCCTACTCTCATTCAGCATCCCTCATTTGCCACACAAGTCAGCAATTCATATGTAAGAGTTAATTTGATTCTGTAATATGATATTAAAGGAGCAATTCTTGCCTTACATAAAATTTGAGTGTCAATTTGATTATTTGGTGAAAAAAGGCATACTGGTAGCTTGATTCATTATATTAAACTTTTAGTCCTTAGGCAAAGGACCTTTTTTACTGCCACTTAACATTTTTTAACCTTGGATAAATGCACCAGGGAGTGAAGAATTATAGTTTGTTTTTTCGAATAGTGCTACTATAAGAAGTTTTAAGGTTTTTTTCTGGAATGGGATTATTTTAGCAGAGGAGAAGCGAATCACTCTTGATTTTTTTTCACAGTATTATCTTGTTTTCAGGATCTTGGATACAAAATGCCTATTAAGGGGAAACTTTTTGCCTTTCTACAAGAAATTTATCTACATTTATTATAGCACAGTGTTGTCAGTTTTTTTTATCCTGGCCACTGCTTAACATCATAAAAATACTGGCATCTCTCCTTTCACAGATTTTAACCATCTTAATATGGAAAAGCAAAAGTGATGTTTTAATATATTCACAAAATGTTTCACAAAATGTTTCCTTGCAACCTTATTTGAGGTAAATGTTACAGTAAATTATCATACATCTTGTAAAATTTTCTAAGATTAAAGGCCTGAATGGCATGTTAGGCCTTTTTATTTCAAAAAAAAAAAAAAAAAATCATAAATTCACTAGAAATTTCAGCAATATTTCCTGTTTTTTCATTTAGAGATTACCTCAAAAACTTGAAAGTAGGAGCATAAAGGGTTTAAAATATGGGTCATAAATCTTTAATTAGTTTTGGATATGGTATACCTTGGTGACTAAGCAACCAAGTGTTAAAAACTCCAAGAGTATAAAATTTTGCGATAAAAGGACATACTTTAGATTTTGTGCCTTTAACCCTGCTTTTTTTTTGCCTGTTATGTTAATTAGCCCTGTATTTCCAGTATCAGACTCCACTACTGGCTCACCACGTGATGACTCCGTCAGCAATACCCCATCCTCATCTCGCTACCAGCCCAGTATTGGGGAGCCCCGTCAGTAACGGGAATGCTTCCCCGAACGCACCTTGTTCCACACTGTTTGTGGCTAACCTCGGACAATTCTGCTCAGAACAGGAGCTGAAAGAATTATTTCAAAAGTAAGTGTTGTGACTGTGTAAAGTGTATGGAGATTGATTTTGTTTTTATGTGATCTGTAATTTTAATTTTAACAGAAGCTGGGCAAGAAACAATTTTTTTATGTGATCTGTAATTCCAGTTAGATGAAAAACATGCAAATTTGTTAAATATAATTTCTTAAAAGATTTTTACATTTTATTGTAGATGTATGATATTGTATAATGTATAACAAATTGGTAATATTCCTTGCTGTCTACCTGACAACTGTATATTGAGACTGTTCTGCTTTCACTTGCTCGTAGACTAAAGAGTTTTGTTTTCATTCCAGTTTCCATGGCTACTGTAGACTAAGGATGCATAATAAAGGAGGTTCTCCGGTAGCATTTGTTGAATATCAGGTCAGTGCAAGGGGTCATTCTTTGGCAAGAGAACAATGCTCTTCCAGTCTTTTTTGAATAATTGAATCTTTCCAATTTAGTATTTGAGATAGCAGTAAAAGATACTTTGCTGTGTGCTGCCTGACTGGGAAATGAAGGAGAACTGAAAAAAAAACCTTCCTGGTGCATGAATGAAAGCCAGTGTTACAATTTTTGTCTGCATCACAAAAGAGAATCCCTTTTTTTCTTTTTCAAAAATTAATAAAAACATAAATCAGACCAAGGTACTTCATTTCCTTTGGTGATAACCTCTGTTGTGTGTGTGGCTAGTTGGTGTCATGGAGGTCAACTGCCTACAGTGAACAGGGCAAATATAATCTCAATGATACAGTCAAATACAAGGAGAGAGGGGGAAATCTTGTGTTTCTGACGTTCCATAGAAGCTGTAAACTAGGCTCTCCACTTTGAAATCTATCTGTGAGAGTGTATGTGTGTGATTTTGCAGTGCTGTGTGATGATGTATGATATATGACAGTAGAGGTGAGATGCTGACTTCCACATGCCACAGCTAGCACAGGTCACACCTTTCTTTCCTGACACTTCACTGGCAAGGTGCTCAAGTTATGTGGCACTGCCATGTTTTATATGCTACGGAACCCAGAGAATTGATCTTTGCTTGAACACAAGACAGCATTGTGATATCTACTCTGAAGCCTTATGTGGCGTTATTAATAATTATTTCTGAATGCAGGAAGAGGAATTATCACCTGGTGATGAGGCCTGCTAATGAGGCATTTTAGAAACACGTTGATATGTATTCCTGGGAACTCCATATTTATAGTCTTTCACAAAGTAATTTTTTGGCTCAAATTTCTCCTCGTCTGGTGGTCATATGTCTCTCAAGGAGACAAGGCTTTCTGTTTAATCCCAGCAGTGAGTCATTATCAGCACAAGAGATGGGTTTATTACATCAATCTAGTTCCACATATATGTGAAGATAAAAACAAAAAAGAAATATTGCTAGCGGAATTGTAGCCAACATAATAATGTGGGAAGTGAGAGGAAGCCAACCCTCTGAGATTGCTTCCTTTGTACCAATTGCCATTTTGTAACTGTGCATTAATGTACCACCTTCAGAAAAAGGTGAGCAGCTCTGTATATTAGTAATAGTTTTTTTTTCATAAGTGCGAATAGTAATGAAAGGCTTGTCTTGCAGGATATTGCCACGGCAACAAGAGCCATGGCAGCCCTTCAGGGGGCAGTACTGTTCTCCTCAGAGCGAGGTGGCATTCGCATTGAATATGCAAGAAATAAGATGGGGGAGGTGAGTGGTAAGCATCAATTTTATGAATTTTTCAAAACCTGAACCTGAAAAGCTTTTTTAGTATGTAATAAAAGTGACACAAAAAATTTGGTGAACAATTTTTTTTTTCATTTTTCGTTTGATGGAAGTAGATTTGACAAACAATGAACACATCATTTCCTTAACAAAAATATTAAGATGGATTCTAGAGAAATTAAGTCATTTGGGAGCAAGAAATGTGCACTGCAGCTTTCTAGATGCTTCATAACACTGAAATTGAGTTTTAGGGCTCATTCCCAGGAAAACCATTGTTCTACGTATATCAACCCAACTTCGCAGGGACTCTTGCTGAATGCAATCAGGTTAACATGCCTTTTCTTGTTTGCAATGTTCTTGTATAACGACCTGCTTTTCTGTATTCTACTCAATGCCGGGAGGAGGTGTGTTAATCTGTTAATCTGATTGCATTAGGCAAGAATCTTTGCAGAGTTGGATCGATCCACATAGAGTGATAGTTAAATTGTGAATGAGCCCATAATGTTTAAGATAGTAAGCATCTCCATTGGTGCCATATTTCAGATCTTCTCAACAGCAATGAGCCCTCTCTGAAGGTTTTGCAGGATGGCCAGCACCTGTCTGCAAGACATCCAAGTCCTTTTTATGTTCAATACTAGTTTGACTGTACTAGTACAAAAAAATTCAAAGCAATCACAATTGTTAGATATATTTTTAATGAAAAAGAAAGATGGAGAAAATGGTGCTTTTTATTACTGTACTAAATCAAAATCCTCTACTGACTCAAAAGGGGTCTTTGAAGGTTTTTTCTTTAAGGCATGTTTGTGCCTTTAAGGGGAATCCGCGAACATTTTTTCTGCTTTTCGTTATTTTAATGCCATTTGGAAAACTGCAGACAATAATCTGAAAATCTACCTCACTTTCAATTGGCAAAATCAAGAGAAAGAAAAAACACAAAAATGAAATTTATCTAGAATCCATTCTTATGATTTAGAAAATCGTACAATTATCTGTTTTTGATTTGGATGCGAAGAGATCATCTTAATGAAAAGTAGACCTTGTTCTTTTGACAGGGTAACCAAAATGGCTCCCTTTCTCCAGGGTCGGAAGACGAGTATCAGCAATGATGCAGGTTTCCATGACAACTGATATTAATACAGCAATAATAAGCTACAATATTTCTCAATCTTGGAATAGTTAAATTATTATAATTATTATTATAAACATTATTATTGGTGTTACTATCATGAGAATTATCATGGTAATTGTTCAGATGTATGGCAAGCAAGTCCTTGCCTGGAAGTGTAACTTCCTACAGTGGTTAATGGTGAAGGTAGAACATAATCACTTAAGATCTATAGCTGTAGTGTAGTTTTTGTCCATTCATATTTGAACTGTAGCATATCAGATTCTAATTCTATAATGGTACATATCTGTCGTCTTTTGATGTGCTGTTATCTGGCGGGTAGAGATATCGACGCTCCGTCCATAGACTAAGGGGAGTCACCATCTTTTACCTATACTTTTGCAGCTTTGTTACTGAGTTATATTTCTTGGTGTATATTATGAATGACCTCTGAGATTGTCTATGTATTAAGTAGTTGTTTACAATGTTGTATAGTAAGAAGCAATGTCCCATGACAAGGAGGCGTTACGTTTGCATGACTACGCAGATATACTCAAGACGTTATGTTGTTGACAATCCATATTCTTGCCAGAATGTTTTCTATAGTGTGGATCCCAAAATTTGCTTTAAAAAAGAGCAAGAGATCAATTGTTTTGCTGTGTTATATTTTATTATTTCCCATGATGTAGCGGAAGAAACTGTTTTCTTTGTTGTTTGTATTTTACAGTTTCAGCAGCTTATTTATTAATTAGCTGAGTGGTGAGAAATCTTACATACTTACAAACGAACAAACACTTTTGTGGAGGAACGGCAAATATTTTGAACAATTTTTTATTATTAAGTACTTGCAAGATTTTTTTCATATTGTTCCACAACAATGTTGTCGTAAGTGTAGTGTCTGTATTGTGTATTGCGGTAGTGAAAAGCGTTCGTTTTTTTATTTTAAAGGAAAGGAAGCATGAACAATAAATTGAGTGATTTTGCAAATGCAGAAGAGAAACAAACATTCCATTCCTGTCAGAAGTATTATATGTGGTTCGTATAACATCAAGCAATATGCAAAATTTAACGATTCTTTAATGATGGAGAATTTTTTCATTTAATTTTACTTGTAAATGGCACTTGCATGTACAGAATTTCTTTTGCCACGACAATCTCGTTATGAACTTGGGACAAAACGTACACGTAGAGCGATCAGAAAAAAACAATCAATAGTTGCGTCGGACTTGCTCCGTTTTAAAATCGCAGGGTGTCTATGAACTGACAATGAACAACGAAATCACAAATGTTAAAATATTATTACGATACTGACGTCATGGTTTCTTTGAGTAAAATAGTATTATTATTATTAATCAAGTTGGTTTTGATTTGCATAGTAGAAGGCTTACAAGGGTTACTCAAACCTTTAGTCTGGGGCATTTTTTGTTGTTGTTAATCTTGGTTTTAATGTATTCTGATATGCCATTCTCCTATGCATCGTACTACTTCATGAATTTGAATATATCATGACTGTTATTATAAGATTGATTACAGATACTGTTGGTTGTACTCGGATATTCAGGCGTGTGATGTAGAATACGACGGCATGTAGTCAGTGTGCTGGTCATTTAGAAGATTGACGGTCTCTGCATGTTTTTGAAGAGAGCTGTTAAATAATCAAGACAACAGATTTTGATTTTTGTTAACAGCAGTTGGTTCTGTTTAAAGAATTTTCCTTTGGTGCAGAGAAATACTCAGATGTCAAGTTTTAGCACAACTCGAGTAGAAGCAAGACCTGGCGGTCCTCGTGCGTGACGCAGCGTTTCTCTTTGCCCGCGCGCGGGTATCTATCTTGCCAAGGAGTGGACTATCGTCTGCTCAGGGTCCTGATGGTGAAACTGTTTCTACCATCGTTATAAAGCATCCATATTTTCATTGTCTGACAGTGCTCCGCCACTTTGTGTATATAGACAGGTCTATCGCACTTGTTGTGTCACACACCGACATCTTAGAACAGAAAATTCACTAGTTGGATTTGTATTGCACAAATATAGAGACTGTATATATATATAATTCAGATGTAAGAAATTACGACTTTATTAACAATGACTGAAGTGTGGAATATATAATTTACGGGGATATAATATTAAATTTAAAATATACGTAAAATTAAGCCGCCGGGATGTACATATTCAAAGGGATCCGAGCGCTGTGGGCACTGAAAGCATGGATGTTATTCTACCTAAGGAGCATTACTTGTTTTATTATTATTATCATCATTATTAGATGTAGACAAATGGGATTTTTACCCTTCTTTGTAACAATAAACTGTCATCAAACAATGATTTTGTATTTCGTTTATTTCGCCATAGGCCTTACACAAGTTTTTAAAAAGAATTTTATCGATTGGTTTGCTTATATATTTCGACAGTAAAAAGACGAACTTGAACGAAAGATTATTTTTATATTTTTGAATAAACACCAAATATGTGGAAAAATCGGGTGAGCCATTTGTACAAACTCGTGGTAAGCGACTAACTACATGAACCGAACAATGGCGCAATGCGGTAGTTGAGATATTGGTTGTGATCGTTCAATGTGACCAACAATTCTCGGCAAATGCAAAAGTAAAGTTACAGAGATATATTAAGGCACCAAAGAATGTTTTGGAATTCTGGTTGATTTTCTGTGCAGTATTTCAGAAGCCGATTTCATGCCGCGTTGTGCGCAAGTAGCATCCACAAAAACGGTCCATAGACTCGCTCACTTTCACTTATTTACATCGCTGAAGTTAGTATCTTAATTATCTTATAACATCTAAACCCTTTCTCATAATCCTAAAAGTGAAATTACTGATTCTGTTGGTTCCCTAATCTCTGTCTATTAAAATCTATAGTCAATATCATTTTTCACAGATTCATATGTTCCGTGAAATGCTGTAAAAGAATTTGTATATCATTCTAAATTAAATCACAAACAGTGAGACATTCAAATGCAAACGTATAATTTGATTTAGATAATATTAAAGCACTAGTGGTAAAACAATATTCCAGCATCTTGTTTTAGATTACACGATCACCTAGTCCATTGCGGGTTCACAGTTATCATAGTTTTTACTTGTTTTAAACGAATAACAATTTGTTCTAACAGCGAACATTGAGGGCCTAATATTTAAGAACGGTACTGGAAACCATGCTTTGTGGATGTTTTCTTCCTGCCAGACCATGTATATGTATTTTTGTAATCTACTTGCGATATAATTTATTCATAAGTGGCGTCTTAGCCCAATCTATAGTTTTAGGGCATTGTTTCTTCAGCCAGCACTGTAGACTGTTACAAGTAAGCCAAGCTCACTATATAGCACAAATACAAAAGGACACATTTTCCACGAAACTGTTTTACTAGTAGTTCGACCATCTTCGTGGCAGTCGATGTCACCCATACCGTCTTTTGGTGACATCAAATGCTTGCTCGGCTACTGTTCGAACGCTGTTGACACATTATCCTTTTCGGTGTTTCTGGGACTTTTTCTCCACCTCTGTAGGCGAGGGAAGCCCGAAGAACACTCGAATGGCCGTCTCTTTAATTTTCAACTCCCCGCATTACTTAGGCTGCTACCATGGCGTTATCACAATATTACAACATACTCCCAGATAAAATGTAAAAACGAATAAAAGTTCCTCGGTTTTGAAACACATTCCCTAGAAATTGGTCTTTCCAAAGAGGGCATTACCCTTCGCATTTGGGTCGTCTGACACGAAATATTCCATGAACAGCTCAGCGAATTCATCTTTGGTAATTTTCACTGCTTGGTTCTGAAGATGATAAAAAAGCACGAATAAATATTTTGAGAAAACACTTTTACTGTATGTATATGTATATATATAAACTGCAGTTTAGAATTTGTAAGAATGGCCTTATGTTAGCAAAGGTAAATTCCTTGGGTACGCTTTTTTTCTTGACGGAAATTATGATGACATTTTTCTAATATTGAAATTGGAAGTTGAATAAAACCGCTAGCAGTTGCAACACGTAGACTGGCTCAATACTTAACATAGAAATAATACCATTTAAAATTTCAATGATAATAACCTAGGCGCAATAATATATGATGCATGCGTCTTACCTCAGAAAACTTGTTGAAGGCGCTCTCGCAGTCAGCATCGGTGATCCCATACGATTTATATACAGTTTTGTATTCGTTCATGTCAATGATGTCATCACCTGCAAAGTAATGGAAAGACCCGCTAAGACACATAATTAAAGAACGTTAAACCTTTAAGGAGGAAATATAATTTTCCCGAAAATCCCAACAATTTCCCTTTAACACCAAGGTATACCGTATCCCTTACCGTCACCCGACACCAGGGTTGTTTTCTGCATCCCAATGATGGGTGCCAAATGCTAAAAGGCCTCCAATAAGCGAGATTTACTAGAGCTTTTGGCTAATCCCGACGACAAAGTCGTTCCAACTTGTCAGTCGCAAGTCATCGTTTTCATTTACATTTTTGTGTCTAATCAACGTCACTATACCTGCAGGTGTCCCTTTCTGTATCTGATTAGAAAGGTGGTAAGTCAAGAAGGCATGCAAGACTGACAAACCCACTGAGACAAGAAAACATGTAGGTATGTTTCTCTGTTAGAATTAAAGCATATTTTAGTATTATAATAGGGGCAACCAATTTTTAGTTACAAAATTCTATAATAATAATAATAATAATTGTTGTTATTATTATTATTATTATTATTAAAGATTGGCACATATTAAAGGGAGTCTACTGAGATTACTTGGCAGCCGGTGACACAGAAATGCAGTCAACAAAGCGGAAACTATTGACCACAGTGCTCGCGCTCTTATCTCACATATCGTCTCATTTCCTCTCTCGAATGCAGTTCCTGTAACACCACACGGCAAATAATAATAAAAAACTACTTGTTCTCTTACCAATAAACGCACGACCCTAGGTGTTTTTAAAAATCAATTTATAAGTTTGTTTAAAACTGATCTATTCTTAAAATCTTTTAGTTCACCTATAACGCCGTCGTTATTATTCTTGAACACATCTATGTAAAATAAAAGTCCCTTGCTTACCTGAGGTATCATTTACATAGAACATAAACTCGCGGTATCTGTTGACCCAGTCAGGGAGTGCACCGGTGTTCTTGCTCGCCTTGATGCTTTCAGTCCACATCAGATACCACTCCTCAGTGGATACCTTCTTATCCTGGAAAACATATATAGGCCTATATATATATATATATATATATATATATATATATATATATAATATTTTGTACTGAATGTTGAAAGCTGAAACAATAGTAACGCACAACAACCCGTTTTCCTCACCCATCAAAATTTGCGACGAAGAGCAATTTTTGTTTTTCTCTAGTGTGTGTGCCGTAAATGATCCCTGAGATGACCAAAAAACATGAAAATACTATTCTGAGAGCTTTCTTTTCCAAAATGTAAAGCTGTAAAATGGACTGGTATGTCTGTGTCCCAGATTAAAGCGCTGTTTTAGTGTCATTTTCGGCTAAGAATTAAAAAGTTTAAAATACACAGCAATGTTTGGAAACATAACATTGTTTGTTGTTGACTTTCAAAGATGATCACCCACTGCTGTTACCCAGTATCGTGGACATTCAGATATATAAACACACGCACATTCATAACACAATTGGCATTTACGATTTGTAATATAATATTATGTATGGGCCCCATTGACTTGTGTAAGTAAGTCCCGTCCTAGATGCTGGCCCACTTACGTCACGCTAGCCTTAACCTGTATGAATCTAATGTAGGATGGATAACTATCCGTTGCACGGATCCCAAGTTTCTTAACAACAGACATTGCAACTGTGTTAGATACGACCAGAGTTTAGAACATCTGAAACATTGTACACATCCGATTGTGTCTGAATCAAAACACCCTGACTACCCTGACAGACGCACAGCCTAACTTAATATCCATGGAATCTACTTTGACTGCCGCGCTTCATAGCTTCGGATTTTCGTTCCTTAACGTTTGAGATAAGTGCAGAATTGCTGGAACTAGACTAGGTTATTATCTTGGACTGACAGACTGTCGTGTAGAGAAATTTGCTTCACAAGACAATTCAAGGCAACCATTTTTGTGAGGAATGGCTCATTTTATTCTTACTTGTTGCATGTCAATTTCAATGCCAAATTTGCATGGTAAGACAGGTGACTATAAAATATACTTTGATCATGACTTTTCATGTTCGCCTGGAGACCAGTGTCAGCTGCACATTTCTCTTAGACTGACCTAACAAAAGTATTGCAAAAAAAGTCAAAGCGAATTTTACCACTCAATTAAAAGCTTCTGTTATTGCGGGTTTTAAGTATTACTGCTAGTTGTATTTGATGGATATTTTAATGAATATCACTTGTATATGTATTTTGTATTAGGGCTGGCAGTCTGTAGTGCTAACATATTACATGTGTTTCTACTGAACCATCTCTATGTAACTGTGCATTAACTAAACCTTAATCTTAATGCATTTTATACAATTCTTAAAAACCGCTGGTTACGAAAGTTTCTTCACACTTACTAAATGGTATTCATGTGTTCACTCTGGTCGAGTTTAGATTCGTTGTTACGATTTATTAAAATATTTCGCTGGAAACATTGTGAATGGGTAAAATCTATGCTAAACATGAAACGTTATCCAAGATAACCAAAATCAGCCGGATTTTACAATTTTACGCTTGGCCATTATGAATATGTTTAATCCTGAATCGACCTCACCTCCCCGGTGAGTACACAACCCAAGTATCGACATATAGGTGGCGCTGAGAATTATCATCCACAACAACCATGTCCAGGACCCTGTAACTCAAAGCATCGCGCATTGCGACCGAGCGCAAGAGTCTCGATTCCGTAACCCCCATTTGGGATGGGGCGAGTATGGGCGAGTTATGGAATCGAGACGCTTGCGCTCGGTCGCAATGCGCGATGCTTTCGAGTTACGGGCCCAGGACTTTACTTTCTGCTTCATTCTCCAAATATCATGTCCTCAGCGAGGAGACGGCAAGTTCTAGTAAGGGATTTTTGTTGGTCTTTGCTATAGGGAACTGTCTCCTGCACCCAGCATATTTTACCACTAGAGGTCTCTGGACACTATATACTCGCGATGTTGCTTGAAATGGCGTGTCAAATGTATCAGATAAAAACGTTACTCTGGGTCGTAGAAGCTGTATCAAGTATTGATAAATATGTCAGCTTGCATTGCTACATTGGCTGTGAAATTGGTTAAAAGTAGAAAGCACTTTGCTCCATGGATGCTAAACTCAGTGCAAATTCCTCAAGGAGATAAAAATGTGCCATTTCCTGATGGGCCACATTCGATTCTAATCCCATACAATTTTCACAATGATTAGAAAAATTCTCCGCATCATTGAATAAGTGTAAATATTTGGAGCATCGAAAGGTTTCCGAAACATTTATACATGTATTATCATGGTGTTGTTTTCAGTCCAACCGAATACCCTAGGAATTTCTTTTGGCTGCCGCGGTTCGAAGATTCATTTTTTCTTTCCCAAAGCGTGAAAGTAAATGTAGAATTGCCAGAGCTAGGTGACTAATATTGATTGAGAGAAACTCTGTTAAATCGAGAAATTGGCTTACAAGGCAATTCAATTGATAGAACAAAACCCGTTACCAGTTGGTGAGTATCTATGCCTAAATAATTAACAGTTTTCCTTCGCAAGTTAAACATTTCCAGCAGCAGGTGTCAACTCTGTGGAATTTATTTATTTTTATTTTATTTATTTTTTGTTTGTTTGTTTGTTTGTTTTAATTTGCACCTTATATGTGAAGGTGTTCGGCCAATTTTACTCTAATTCCAAAATTTGTCTCATCTATCTGTATATTTTTTTCTCACCACATATAAAGGAATGTGTGTTCTTAGTTGGATTTAAATACCAAACTGTCTACTTATTTGTTACTTGTTCAAACAGGACCAAAACTGAAAATGGATTCACCATAATTAAATTACAATCTATTTGTAATTGCATTGTCAAAAATGACACTGTGTTTGGCAGGATGTGCATTGAGTCAAGTATATGTATTGAGCTAAAAATCCTCATCGCGTATTTCAATGTTTTTCAAACTCTGGTTTTATGGTTCAATCTGGACATTTCTTAGACATTTCTTAATCATATACCGCTTATCAATGTCACAGCTCTGTTTGATTTGACACAAAATATCCCCTCTTTTAACCTAAAGCAATTGTCAGTCCTCCGTACAAGTCTCTCTCTCTCTCTCTCTCTCTCCACACACACACACAAACACACACACACACACACGGGCACATGCACTACTCTTGCACTGAATTAAAATGACAAGGCTGCTAAGACACTTCAGCGGATAGAGCCTTAAAAATCTAGCTTTCGTGCTGGTGTTCATTAATCTTCACAAAGTTCCGCAAAGTCTAAATCCTGAGAAATAACGATCGATACCCGCAGTGATAACACGACAGGGACACATCGCCGCTGGAAACAGATGATCGACCTGTTGCCTTGGAGACGGGATCCGAACCAAGAGACGAAGAGCAACAAAACACAGGAGAAACTACAATGAATATTTATCATTCATCTTCTACTGCACGCTCTCATCTGCCTTTTTTTTTCTCAGGTCTGAATTTATAAAGTGGGTTCAGATGTTATTTCGGTGTATGTTCGGAAGACATTTTAATAAGCCATCTTAAGTAAGTGGCAATGGCATAAGGTCCGTTATGATTGAAGTAAAGATGAAGTGCACAGTGATGATATGTTAAGAGTTCAGACAGCGCTGTTCGCTCTGCAATTTCAAGCTAACCGACTCGCCTCACCATCAATAAAATATAATTTTTATGAAACTACAATTAAAAGGAATCTCATTTCAGAGCCCGCTGCCACACAGACGGAGTAGGTTATAAAACACCAACAGTGATATCACAAAGGCGGCAAAAAAGTATTCATTTAGAGTCTGTAAAAAACATATTCCTCGTTGATTCATATTATCTGGCAAGCATAACAGAATCCTTTTTACTTACTGCATTACACAGCATGTAGATTGACCTTGCGATCTTGACTCTGCTTTCGCGTTAGTTGACAACAATTTTGCATTAATGCAAGAAAAGGCCAACGAGATAGTTATGTAGTGATTTTAGTGTACGTAGCAATATTTGAATGCTTCAGTCCACTGCGTTTTGCATAGAGAGAGAGAGAGAGAGTGAGAAAGAGAGATCGCTGGATTTCTTTCCGATTCAGTTCCACTAAAAACACTTACTGGGTTGAACAGGATCATCTTTGTTTTCCAATTTTGACGTTTTTAGGTGTCCAGAGAATTCTACTCTCTGTCGAAGAAGGTTTTTCAGTTGAACGCGTATCTATCAGTTCTGCTGCAGAGCAGGTCCAGACACAATCACCACACTGCATGTGCTTTGTCATACTGTAAGGGCTCATACCCCATGAAACTATACCGTACTACTTAGATCGCTACCTCTTGTTTCCAATGTATTCGTATAATCACACCCAGCTTTTTTGTAATCTTCCCAACGCCATACTTTTTCTGTATTCTTCCCACGTGTTATTCTCATTGCATTCAGCGGGAGTCCCCTGGAGTTGGGACGATCTACGTAGATCGATAGTTTCGTTGGGAATGTGCCCTAAAATTAATACACCCCTCGCTTAGTGAGGGAGATAATTTTTATGGCCTAACACGTGTTGTCGGATACATTTCAAGTGGGGATGATAAGGGATAATCATAAAGAATCGTTCAGGTCAGATATATAGCACAGGTTTTTTTAGATAGCAGCTAAATTGTATGATTCGCCTTCTTCTTTAGGACTATTTATAAATTTCAAGGACAAGTTAATCTCTCAGACATAATATTTCATGGAATATATTGAAATTTTAACGAAGAAATTCGAGTGGACGATGCAAATTGCCACAAAACCATATGTTCAACATTTGATGGAAAATTAATGAACTCCATTTACATGTATGTAGAAGGCGTTATACTACTGTTGTAAAGTTAATTACTTAGGCTTACGCTAATTACAATTAGTAATAAAAGGGAAATCAAATAGATGAAAAGTTAGAGTGATATTGAGTGTAAATTAAGTTTCATCAAGAGTCAACAAGTGTAGAACATGTTTTTAGTGTCAGAAAAATATGGAAAAGGTCAAAGTCAATAACATTTAATATGATTGGTTAATTTCATAACAGATTTTAATTTTGATCAACTGTTTATCGCATGATAACTGAGTTTTGGACATGATTCAAGTATGAGTAATGCAAATAGTATTTTTGATAAGTTTAGTTGAAAACAAGGCTCTTAGACATTGCCTAATAAGGGAATGTTCTATGGTAAAGTCAACATAAAAATGGAAAGTTTCTGGAAATCACGCCATAAACAATAAAAAGAACATAATTACACGCGTGATCAGAACGGAGAATTAGAGTATAAATATGGGTAAAATTGTATGAAAAGTGAGTGGTGAATAAATGATTCAAGACTCCAGAACCTCGTCGTAGTTATAATACTACTTTCGGCGTTTCTGGTATTAAACGCACTATTACTGGGAAATTCACTTTCACGCGGCAAATAGAAATATGCAATGCCAACAGCACTATTAAATACCTGCTTTTGTTGAATCCCCCCCCCCAAAAAAAAAAAAAAAAAAAGACATCGCAATTCATTTTAGTGTGCGTTTTAGCGCACCCGTGGCAGTGATGACCGCAGTTCCCTACTAAGCTTCGTTTTACGCGCTTTTTGGGTTTGTCTTGTGTTTCAGCTGTCATTATACTTGACGGTAGGCTGAGAAAAACACGTGAATGGACAGTCCTACAAAACATGCAAGCAGGTTATTTGTACCGCCTGTGGTATTCATCTAGACGTTGACTAAGAGGCTGTTCCGATGAGTTTGGTCGGCCTAGCTAGTGCGCACTAACTCCAAGGGAACGATCGCTGAATGCAACAGATAAACGGACTAGCACGTCACCTTTTGTTTCCAACGCACTCGTTAAAGCACCAGCTTCTCTGCATTCCATTCAATGCCAGAAGGGGGCGTGTTAATCTGTTAATTGATTGCAGTCAGCTAGAGTCTCTGTGGAGTTAGTACGCACTAGCTACCGCGCACTTACTCATTCTGATCGCCCCCTAAAAGAAAAAAGATATACTCTTTTGATGGACTCGAAGGAAAGGAAACGCTTACCGTTTGTAAAGATTTAATTTTCTTTTAAAAATCTGTGTGATGGCAACTCCCCTCCCCCCCCCCCCCCCCCCAAGCAGGCTACGGCCCTGAAATACTTGTCATTTTACACCTCAGAACCCAGATCTTGATAAAAGCAACATGAAACAATCGGTTGTCACCATACCATAAAAACATAAGCATACCTTGTTTTTGTCTGCATATTTGAGGAGAGCCTTCCAGATCTCCTGCATTGTCTCTGTTGCGGTCGTGTGTTTCTCTCTTCCTTGGGGCCAGCCATGCAAATCGCAGATTTTCTAAAGCGAATGAATAAAATATATCATACAGAGGTTTGACTCCAAAACCGCATTATATTTTGAAATAATTCTAATTTGAATATCAGTCTGGCATGACAAGCACATATGGCACAATTAATATTGTTCCTGGTCGTTTTGTTTTAATAATTCAGGAGAAGCAAAATACAAATCTTTTTCGATGAATAGTTGTATATTCCGGAGGGGAGAGATGTGAGCTAGATAAAATAAAATCGTTTTCTTATTAGTATTCATAGCTGTTACTGATGGGATTAGATTTGTTTAAATTGATGCCCCTTAACATTAAGAAAAGTGGATATCTGCATATCGGTATTAAGTGAAACTGCCTGGATTTGTGCTCCCAGTAGCGTTCACAATTTCCCAATCCACGTTGCCATATAGAAACATAAAAAGAAATAAGTATCTCGTCGTACGCGTGTGACATGTTTATTGATCCCATAATCAAGGAATAATGTTTTAAGCGGTTCCAAATAAGCAATTGAGTAGTCGCAAACACTTTTTTATATGAGGTGTATTCAAGTGGCGAAATTAATACATCGTCATCAGCTTTATATCCCCTTTAATTTGCTTTAATCACCTAATAAATCTGAAGCGTCGTTTTTAATCTTTGGTTCGCGCTTTGTAACGGGTTTATAAGGCCCTTGATCAGTGAGGGATCGACGTTTGCTGGTTATGGTCTGACTCGCGTAACCATGGGGTAATTTGCCTTTACACTGGGGCTTTGAGATGCCAAAGAGCCCTGGGAACCCAGTTTGAACCAGTGGACTTATATTGTCAGTTGGCTCGTAAACCTATTTCTGAGGTATTCTAAAAACGTTTTCTTTCTTTGTCACATATAAGGACTGTACATGAAATGTCCGTGGAGAATATCACAGCTCTTTATCAAACAAAAAATAGTGATAAAAGATTAATGATCAATTTTGGCAAATATCAATTTGCAAACATTTTTGTTAACGTGAAATCTGGATTTACAATACTGAATGAATGGTGCCTAGATTAAAGATTAATACTTTATAAGCTAAATCACCTAAATGCAAAAAATAATTGTCGTATGCATTACGAAAGTAATATGATTTTCGAGAGTAATCTTCAAAATATTTCCGGATCCTGACATTAAACTTTTTTGTTATTTGTTTATCCTCTATAAGTTCTTTATACACAGTTTGGAAAGGGGTCAAAGTTACTATTACTCTGTGCACTTTCCCCCATTTGAAATATCTTCCTAGAGAATGTCACAAAACATGGGGAGACTAAACAAAAACAGTTGTCAAATGAATTGAAGAAAAAAAAGATTAAAACTCAATACAAAACAGTTATCTGCAATAATAAAACAGCACGATCGCGTGCAGTCTGAAACCGTGTAATTTGGTAATAGACTCAGAACTTCGTCATGCGATCGCCCCCCCCCCCCCCAAAAAAAAATTACCGATTAACTTTGCCATCGATTTTATGTCAGAACTATATGTCAGACTGAGATAAACACAGGCACAACACCACATCTGAAGTTAGCCATGTAATTTATATCAGTTGCAATTAATGTATGTATCTCCACTGCAGAAAGAAAATTGACAAATACATATTGCAAATTAATGGACTACGGGCACTCTTATTCACTGCGTATAGACCTGGTGAATTCGAAAGTGGCTAAAATTGTAAGTGCCTTGAGCAAACAAGTTGCCTGTTTCAGTACAATTTGCGATGGTTTAATTGCCTCGTGCAGAGATTATTTACCAAAAACTTGTTTGCTGCGCGCCACAGTGGGTGGAACTATTCTCTCACCACAGGGTGCGCTGGTAGTCTATTACAAAAATGTTCAATGGCACACAGTGTAATTATGTATACTATTTAGGTGCCCCTTGTATCTTGGATTCTGTGCCTTACGGGCTATATATGTATAAGTGTGCAATGCTAGCACACTGAATGATAATCTCAAAATTGTTTCACGGTAACCATGTCGAAGAAACGTATGTATTATGACTTACCTCAATAGCTATTTTGAAATCTTTCCATTCAATGACACCATCTTTGTTTATATCTGCAACATGCAAAGGAAAACGTAGATGAGTAATAATGCAGTGGCAGATTCAGGATACCAATATCGGAACTGGTCAGAACCCCCCTCCCCCGCCCTCCCCCCCCCCCCGGATCCGTAAGTCTTTTTAATTGGCAACATACAAATGTTTCGTTGCTTTATTCTGTTTCAGTAGGAACAGGCATCTCTTACTTTAAACGTACCATAAAAAAGATAATATTCTGTCAACGTTAATGCCTTGGAGAATGGATAAAATTATACGGCATGACTTTTATGTTTCCGTTTCATGATGTTTCAAAAGAAGGCAATGAAAAAGAGAAAAACACCCCTTCTAATTGTCTAAATGCACCCGATGGCAGCGTTCTCGCCATTTCAAGTCCCCCAGGGTACGAACAAGCAGCACGTCGTCTAGAACATCGTCTGTTACTCGGTAAAATAAAGTATTTATCGATCCAACTGAAGCCCCTTGCCATACTTACTGCCGCAAAAAGCCCAATGAAAGTCACGGCGAATTTGAAACAAAATGTATCGGAGAAAGTCTGGACCGACTAACTTGTGCGCTGTAGAAATTCATAATGGTCGAATGTATATTAATATACAGATAAATACTCTTGTGCAAAACCTAACTGAATCTCAGTGATGGAAGCACCCATGTATCACACTTTGAACTCAGCTTTAAAAAAGAAACGCTTTTGGTTATACAAATATATTCAGAACAAACATATTCAAAACTTTCGTCTTTATGTTATGTTGATCTGATCTGATCTTCCAAATGGATTGAACTGACTTTAGGTCAAGGAGAACAACGGTATGCTACTTACCATAAAAGATATCGAAAACGTGTCGCAGTTTCTTTTTCTGGAACTCTGACAATTTGAAGTCGCCCATGTTTCTTAAAGAAAAGGTTAATAACATTAGATATTGGCATCGATATTTCATATCCCATCGGATATCTCATATCCTAACGGATATCTCACTTCCGACCGGAGACTAAAGAACACTTAGGTTATCCAGGCATTTGATGCTGCTTTGTAAAAATAAACAATTGACTAAGAAATCCATGTTTGATGCAAATTGCAATTCCTAAAAACATAAATTATATAGAATAATAAAAAGAACTGAGAACTTGGAGACGGGTCCAAACTTTATAAGACACCTGCTTTTAATGTTTATTTTCCATTGCTTGTTGCTTCTTCTAATCTTAACTGCCATAATTAAAATAGGCACATAGCTGTCAACAAACAATTATGCCATATGTGAAACTGGCTTTTCTTTTTCTCATGCATAGTGATGTAAAAAGAAGCAAATGCCTCATAAGAAAACACGTTTTGTCTCTTGAGAAACTATTTTCTTTTATCAATAATGCCAAAGATATTTCCTTACTTTTATTTTAGATAATGATGTTATTGTCTATCATCTGTTTATATTTCGAAAGGCTTGGCTTTTCGTTCTCCAAGAACAACAATAATAATATCTGATACAAGAGTTTGGGTGCAGTTAAACTTCCTGAAGTTTTTCGTGGGCTGCTGGTGGTCATGATGGTTGGTATGAGAATGGCTTTATTCCTTACCTGTTTACCTCTTGTGGTAAATGGCCTCTTACCGCCAATCCGACAGAATGATACGGTAGTTCCGTGAACTGTTCTACCCTTGTTACTCTCACTGCTAACAGTGTTCTTTCGTTTTAAATGAATGAAGGCCGGTTTAGGAAATTTTTACGCTGAAGATGATCAATAATTTGCTTTTGCATCCATTTAGATTTGCAACATTATGTCAATACAGGCTCGTGAGAGCTAGAGTCTATTTCTATGACAACATTTAATCACTAGGAAATTATATTAGCTCAACCGTCCTGGGAAAGAGGCAATTTTACTCGCTGAAAACGACAGCGTTCAGACATCCGTTGTTTATATTACTCTTGAAATTTATGTAGTGTTTATAGAGGCAATTATGTACTTATCTTTCTTTAGTCTTTAATTTTTTGTTACTTCCAATTAGCACTATAGAGAATGAAGTAAGCCACTTTCTCACAGTTATCACAATAACACCAACATTTTAAATATCTGATGTTACCTGCTCCTAAAATTCTTGTCTTTTGTAATCTACTTTCATTTGAATATTTCAACTCAAACAAGCACAATGCATTTAATTAGATTCACATAAAACAACTCTTTACAACCAGCTAGGGTGCAGAAGATTTACTGCAAGAAATACACAATAAAAATGCCAATTATGTACTTAGAGTGGATCTTGAATGGATGTGTAAACGCTACGTGATAGAATATGCGTGTCCTTTTTGTCTGTGATTCGATTTCGATACTAAAGCGTGTAGTACAGAGTAACTTTGTTTTAATGTGACCTTGATGTTTCTCGATGCCATTAAGGCTACATTATTGTTGACTATATGTAGAAATTTAATATAAATGAAAAATATACATTAGAGGCTCTTGACAGAATGACGGCGTTAGTAAAAATAAAGAGCGACAGTATTATTGAAATTATGTGACTTCAGAAAAGACCTACTAATGTTCATAAACTTGTTGGTCGCCTTTCCCATTAGCGATACAAAAATCAACTTGCCATTTCAATTTAAAGCTTCACTGCCACTGAAGAGTGCGCAGTATATGCAAATCAGCTCCCCTTTACAATTTTATTCTTCCATTTCATAATTTGTCGATATTTCTTTTATAATTACATTGTTGATAGGCATGCGCTTTCAAATGAATGCCCTGATGACAAGTCTAATTCCATCCGCGGTAATCTATCAAACAGTTCTCCCTCGGTGAACTTTTTTTTGGAATCTGTGCCTTACGGGCTATATATGTATAAGTGTGCATTGCCAGCAAACTGAATGATAATCTCAAAATTGTTTCACGGTATATATTTTTGTAGATATCTAGGAGGAAATACAAAGTCAACATTTTGATAAACAGTATGTTCATTGGATGAATACTTTGGAACAGTTAGATAATACTGTTTATTATGACATACTACAACTCTGTTAATACAGAAAATACTATTGACGCTAGAAACAAATATTTGTGTTCAACGCGCTTTCAAACGTAAGCAAGGAGAGATTTATTCCAACGTTGGATCATCATACAGTGTATATATGTATACATACATACACTGTATATACATATATACAGTGTATATATGTATAGACTTTAAATGACCACACCTTCATGGACCATTCGTATATCATAATATAGCGTTTACTGCAATACCGAATATTGGTAAAGATAATACATACTTCTGAGGACATCGTGTATTACTTATAATTTATGTTGTTATATTAGAACTAATTTTATTATATATATATATATATATATATATATATATATATATATATATATAATCAAAGATTAAAAATTTGAATAGCAGCTTCATTGAAATTATATTTACCTCAGGCTCTGCCAAGGAGGTTATATTTTCACCCCTGTTTGTCTGTCATCAACATAACTCAAAAAGTTATGGACCGATTTTGCTGAAATTTTCAGGAACTGTCAGAATTGGGCCAAAGAGGACAATGATTAGTTTTTAGTNGGCGCAACTTGCTACTTTGTAAGAATATTGACACACACACACACACACACACAGCATTCAAAAATTACATTGGGGAAAAAACAAGAAAAAATCTTACTGTCATACGACACATGTATTTCCATTCTGTTGATATATCTTACAATAATGTATACATATACTTGTAATGCTTGCTAGTATATATATATATATTTATTTATTTTATTTTTTTTTTTGAGTGGGGGGAGGGGGGCTATCTTACCTCAAGGAGCCAATTTCACTTGGAGTTTTTTTTTTGTTTTTTATAACTATGTTTAACTATGTTCTTAGTTCTCGTAACCAACCGATTTTCAAACCAGCGTTTTACAATGTACCAAAATAGTCTAACTCCATCGATGTGAAATCGGTTTATGTTTTATGGTTTTCTAAATATCTCAATGACACTTTAAGGTAGACCAGAACTAGGTAATGAATATGACTTTTGCAATTCGAAATACATAAATCCAGAACCCATGCGCACGTGAAACAGTAAAAGATTATTATGCATTATTGTTCTGTTCTTCTTACAGTGGCAGATTCCAAAGTACCATGATAACCGGTCTACTTAAAACAGCAAGAGGTGTTTGTCTTGGTAATACAACTAATAATATCTACCCTTTTTAGATAACAAAGGATTTTGGGAACAAAGAAAAATTGATTTTAGCTGGTATATTTCCAGAAAATGTTAAAAAGGAAAGGTGCATGAACATTCCGTTTTGTTTTTCGAAAACAAAGAGATTTTGGAAACCAGTGAAAATTGGAGCAGCCGTTTGGTAAAAGTTTGGAAACGGGCCTTAATGAGTTCCACATTGCGATATATTAAGTAATACAAGAAATAAAAAAATGTTTGTCAAAGAGGCACAAACCACGGCTGCCGTATTAATCACCAGCTGTCTTATAGAATAGAAGAAGCAATGATATATGCAAAATGAATAGTAAAAGCCATTCTCCTGTGGTTCGAATGCGGCAATTTGTATTAATAATGCAACGATTAAAGCCGCAAATTTCAGTATAACAATGGTATTTGTAAAATGCCTCCCATCCTTTGTAGCGTCCCCAGTGATGAGGACGCCATTTTTGTATCGGTTCACTGCAGGTCAAAACGTGCACGCAACCGTTGGTGACTCAGAGCTCCACCGTATCGGGAAATTAACATATGCAAGCTGAAACAAGTTTGTAAAAGCCATTAACAGATTGGAAATATTGGTAATTTGAGTTTTAAAGCAGAGACATGTCCCACTGTGTCTTCTGCCTGTTAGTTTGGAATGGCATCAACCGTTCCATGTTCACCGATACTGTATATTGGATGCACTATCTGTCATCCAACAGCGGTGTCGCGCTTCATACAGCCTTTGGAAGAGAGGACACTTTATTAAATTTAGTTCAGACCTAGTTTAAGTGCTTTGAATGATATATAGGCTTATATATCATAGGTGCTGTTTTATGTAACCGAAGATAAGCCCAATTGCAATATTGATGTATGGTGAAAGCTGCAGCGTTCGTACAAAATTTTTCATCAATGTGCATTAATTGTCATTTACTTAATTCATTTTTCTATTTGTTCATTTAGGGGGAGGATGGGGGGGGGGGGGCTGTAGCAAATATACTGTAAATAACGATATTTTCATTAGCTCTTTTATCACGCAGTTTTTTCTTTTGTGCATACATAGCCTAGGAAGTTTTATGAACGGGTAAACACTGAAAATTATCCCGATAATGTTATCGACATTTTCGTGTTCCAAGATAAATTGGAAAAAGAGTGTTATTGTTATTCCCTTCTAGCGTAGGAAATTAAACCTAACCGGTACATTTTGCGTGTGGATTTCATGTTGGGATATAATCCGCGTCGATAAAGAAGAAGCGCGGCTCTTTGCAGGAAGGAATTAACGTCTCAAAAGGCCCACTGATCGTTCCTTGAAAACTCTCATCGGGTTTCAGAGCTTTGCAAGAAATATCAACAATGATCCATGTGCTTGAGGATAGGGTGGAAACAAAGCGACCGACAGAATGATTGGCGAGAATGATCACTGTAATTAGTAGACGTTCATGGACGCACCGCCAGTTACAGTCAAGAGAAATAGATATGCGGTACCGAGTAGATTGAGCTCGGTGCAGTGACACATCGTTTTTTATTGAAATCACAATGTGTTATGAGAAACGTACGCTGAATATGAAGCACCGTGACTAGAAATAAGTCTGAAATGTAATTAAAGCAGCATTATAATCAATCATGTCCAACACATAACTAGAGTCAATTTTATTTCAGTAATGAATAATCGTTCTTAATATACCCTTGTTTTCACTGCCATGCTGCTTGCCATGTTCGGAGATAAAACCAAGTGTTCATTACCATACTGTCTAGTTTTTATGCTTGCCCATTCATATATCACACTCCAACAAATGCGCATTGGTGGTTCTCAGGGGGTGTATATATAAATGAAATGATTAAAACATCATGATGACTTATAAATGACAAAATAATAGAAACTGAACGACCAAAATAAAGTACAAAACGTTTATTTCATCTGAAGTTAAGTCTACGAAAGTTAAGCTCAAAGTAACGCACTCATCGACTAGTTCGCAGTCGTTCGAACGAGAACAGCAATTGTAATTGGTTAAACTATAGTCCACCGGACTGACCGCTCTTCTAATGGCGTTAAATTCGAGGAGGATCCGTGGCGTTTCACCGCAGTGGATACTTTGAGATTAAATTAACACCGTCGGGTTTGAGTTAATTCATTTAGAAATTAATGCCTAGCTCTTTTGTTTCCAGTTCTTGCTCTGGGTGGCGCGGCCCTCTGCAGGGAACTGAGATACATTTAGAGCTATCTCAAAAATTCAATAATACAGAAATGTATATGCGACTAAATGCTGAATGGCTGCCAATCTTGTGCTCAATCTTAAGTCGAAAGCTATTTTTCTCTTCCCAGCAACTTAAGACGGCCACTTCCCGAAGATGCATCAAGCGCACAATGAATTTCTGGCAGACTGTGTTTGCCAAGCGGTTAAGTATTTATAATAAAAATGGGAGACTTGCTGTAAATTTGTGTTATTCAGTCAGACGCGATTGCTTTAATTTTCACCCAATGTATTACGAGGTATCCAGCAACTGATCTCTGCTGTGTGTTTCAGTAATTGATTCAGTAATGTCAACAAATTGCAAAGTCTCACANCAGACTTGCTGTAAATTTGTGTTATTCAGTCAGACGCGATTGCTTTAATTTTCACCCAATGTATTACGAGGTATCCAGCAACTGATC